CCTTCCCTTCCCTTCCCTTCCCTTCCCTTCCCTTCCCTTCTTTCTTTCTTTCTTTCTTTCTTTCTTTCTTTCTTTCTTTCTTTCTTTCTTTCTTTCTTTGGTAGTCCTTGTTCTGGGTATGGCTTAGTGGGCAACCAATCAGCAAAATTTCAGGGCCTAGCTGCTCAGGACCTCACTGAATGCATCATCTGCAAAGCATGTGCAGTGGAGTCAGATTTAATGGTATTAAGCACATGGAGAGAGATTTCCAGTCTGAATCAGGACTATGGTGTTTCGGAAGGGACAGTTTAAGCTTTCCCTCACCTTGTGCTGCAATGAGCAACAGAAAAAAGCATCCACGTGTTGTGGACTGTGAGCAGCAGAGTCACCTGTCAGGAGATGAAGCCATCCCCACCTAATGGACAGGTCATGAAGTCTGAAGTGTGCCAACTCTCCTTACATTAGCAGTGGGTCCCACTTTTTCATTGCAACTGGTGTGGAGGCTAGTGCTTGGAGAAGAAAATCAGGAGGGCAGAAAAGAATGGGGGTGGGAGACATAAATGCCTCATTAGATTCTGACCTGTTTGTGCTTATATCTCTCGGGAAACATTTGAGACCTGTCAGTAGTTACTGCTTGATATATTTTAGTCTTTGCTGGCATGAAATACTGGCTTTGATTTTGATTTTATGTACAATGATTTTATTGGGATGTTGTTTGTATCTTTAATGTGTATGTATAATTTGTTACAGAGCAACTAATAAATGGAAACTATCAATAAATGGCCAACACTGTGTTTTCAGCAGTTCCACAGAAAATTGCAGAAAAGACTTGTGTTATTGATATTGGTAGGGTGGAAATGGAACTGCAGAGTAAGTTACAATTAAGGGAGGTAAGCTGAGCTGTTTGTTTCCCTCCAGGTAGTGTCAGTAAGGAACATGTGAAGAAGAGAGAGGAAAACTGATCTCTCCATCTTTTTCAAGAATGGGAATTAAAACTAGATGTGCTGCAGCTAGAAAGGAAAGTAACTTTAGGCCAAAGGATGCGTTGTGTGCTGCCATGTTTGCAAGATGATGGAGGCAAGCACAGGATGATCTGTGTATAGGTTGGGGGTTCCTCCGCTGTGTCTGAGGAGGCTGTGTGGAACCTAAGGAAGGATTTCACTCCCTGTTACCACTGTCCAGGGGTGATTGGGAACTCCAGTTTGTTATCTCCCAACTTCAATGGCTTGTGTTGTTGCTAGGTCATTTGCAGAGTTCTTCATATTTGGGATAGAAGGTGCTTGATACTTTAAAAATTCTGGATTGCAGCGTATCTTCAAATCTTTGTTGAAAAAAGCATAGCTAGATCCCAGCACAAGTATCATTCTAATCTTTCCTTCACTTTTAAGAAGGTCCTAGAACACCCGGTGGCAACTGAACTTCTACCTTACTTGGATGAGGCCAATCGTTTTCACCCATTCCAATTCCAGTTTAGACTTGGATTTTGGGCTGAAATAGCCTTGCAAGATGGCCTGTGGCAGGATCTAGACAAGGGGCATCGCTTTTGGTTCTGCTGGACCTCTCAATGTCATGTAATGCCATTAATCTGGGGTGTTTGGTTTTTATAGGTTTTGGGGGCACCAAATTATAGTGGTTCTAGTCTTATTTGGTTGAACATTCCTACAGGGGGGTGCTCAGCTCCTTAACTATTAGTCTGTAGAATTTCTCAGGGTTCTGTTGTATCTGTTGTACTTTTGAATACCTCCATGAAGCTGCTGGAAGCAATAATCCACAGTTTTGGGGTTGGGGTTCATCACTGAGTTGAAGATATCCAGATCTCTCTTTTTTTCAACAAACACCAAGGAAGTTGTGAAAGTCTTGAAGTTCAGTCCAGAGGCTGACAGAGTTGTGACTGCCAGTAGAAGATCTAATTCATGACAGGGCCCATTCTGTTCTAAGCAGAGTTATACTCCCACTGAACATCAGGTCCACTGTTTTGGGATGCTCCTAGATCTGGCATTAACTCCTGGATACCCAGGTGGCAGGAATGCCTTTGCTCAGCTTCAGCTGTTGTACCAGCTGTATCCCTTCCTAGAGAAGATAGAGCAGACCAAAGTGACATGTGCCTTAACCCCTTCCTACTGGGATTAGTGCAACATGTTGTACATGGGGCTACCCTTCAAGAGTGTTCAGAAACTGTCCCTGGTGCAATATGCTGAAGCCAGATTGCTTTCTGGTGTGCACTATATAGCCCAAATTGAACTAGCCTCATCATATTAATAGTGCTGGCTTCTGATTTGTTTTCAGACCCAATTTAAGGTGCTAGTATATATCTACAAAGGCCTAAATGCTGGGCAGCCAGGATATCTGAAAGATCACACACAAACCTACAAAGCTTGCAATATTCCTCTCCGGACTACGCTGCTGTCTATCCCACCACCAAAAGAGGTAAGTTGGACAAAACACAGTATAGGGCCTTTTCTGTGGCAGCCCCTCAGTTGTGGAATAAGACTGACTCCAGTCCAGCTCAGGTTCAGGTAGGCAGATATAATCTGTTCAGTTTTTTAAATAGAAGATTGAAGTCTTGCTTGTCTTAGTTTTATAGCAGTTTTAACCCCATCCATTCTTAAAATTTGTTTAACATTTAATGTTTTTTATTGTATACTGCTGTGGAGGGACAAAGCTGGTTTATATACTTTTTACAAATAAATAATGAAAAAATATGGAATGCATAAGAGAGACCATGGAGACAAGTAAGTAATAAATGCAACAACTTAAAAAAACTGTGGCTAAGAATAACAAATGTATTGCATATAAACTTTCATGGATTACAGGCTATTTCAACAAAAGCATGAAGTGTTACGTTGCACTACAAGTATATAAACAGATATGGAGATGGTGATGCAATTGTAAACAGTGAAGTCAGAGGGATTTGAAATGTAGAAACTGCCAACACTGACAATCACAGGATTAACAGTGGCCATTCACAAAATAATTCTTGCTGATAATGCAAACATTCTGGCCTTTGGCAACCTAACTGACAAATGTCTTAGGATTTAAAAAGAGAGGGAGGGAAAAAAACCCATTTATCCCGATTCAAGCCACAGGAGTTAGAAATGAATGTCTTGATCAGTTACAACTCAGTGGTCTCTTTTTCTTATTTTTTGAGCTTTTCTGCTTCAGTATGACCAGTTTGGGGTCAGTAACTATCTGAAGAAACTGAACTGTTCTCCTGCTGTTTTTTGAATGATGCCATTTTTATATCAGATTTGTGCCCATTTTTTTTCTTTTGCAGACAGTTTTTACTTTCACTTATAATAAATGATATAGTAAAACTTTGTTTTTCTAGAGATCTGTCTTGAATTGTTTACAATCTGACATCTTTGTGATGGTAGCAATATTAGTTCCTGTATCTTGCTTTGCTGAAACTTTTTTTTTTTTTTTTAAACACGTTCACCTACACTTTTCCTCCACATTGCTATCAAACTGAGGATTCCAGCACATTGAGAACTGCCTAGAGCAACCTTTCCCAACCTGGAACTCTCCAGCTGTGTTAGCCTAATTATGTTAAAATGGGAGTCCTTTCCGAACAAAATTTGGCTGAACAAAATTTTCTTGAAGGCACGTCTCATGTCTGGATGTAAAAGAGGCAGACCAGAGAAGACCTCAGCAAAGTGAAATTCTACAACAGGAATGGGAAACATTGAGGGGGGGCACGTATGGCTCATTGGACCATCTCCCCCCTGTCCCCTCCCCACAATGCAGTCCAGCTGCTGCCAGTGTTCTGAATGGCAAAGGAAAGATACGTGGGCTGCCATCAAAGTTCAGCAGCAAATCCCTACAGACAGAGGGAGTATAATGATACTAAACTCCATGTAAAGCCGAAATGTAGCGGGCATAGTAATTACCTGAATTCATTGGCATGATCCACTCAAGGGCCTACAAGTTTCTCAAACAACTTGTTTGTTGCCCTTCCCTTCCCTTCCCTTCCCTTCCCTTCCCTTCCCTTCCCTTCCACCAGCTACACTGGTAGCCTGGTCACCATTTTGTATCCTTCAACATGCCCCACACCTATTGTCACTCAAGGGCATCATGAGTGAGGGGCACCACAAGAACAGTGGCAAAAATTTGGTGGTGGTCCAGAGTGCAAAGTGTCTGCTTTCTATTATTTGTCTTTCCATTCTTCTTCAACCTCTCAGGCTGTCTATGTAACATTGGTAGATTCTATGGGGCTATTTGATTCCTGATGAGCATTGCAACACAACCTAATATACAAAATGAACCTCTTCTTATCAACAATTTTATAACAAAACAGCACAAACAATTATAATATATAACAATGATAACAAAATACTACAACCCATGCACCCATGCACCCCCAAACCCTGGCAACAGCACTAATACAAATAAAACTGGCTGTAGAGCTGCAAAGTTCAATTGTCCTTTTGAATCCAACTGAAACAAAGGAATCCAAAATTGGTCTGGACACAGAAGAGTCAGCTGCACGTGGAGAATCCTCAAAACCCTGGAATAAAATGCCAATTCTATTGTATATACATGAATTCATTATGTGGATTCACCCCCTCCCCCAACACAAACATGTAGGAATTTTTCCTAAACCAAGTTAGCAAGGGCCTTAGTTGCAACAGCAGATCCTGCCTCTTCAGCTTTCTCACTCTTTTTTATTTGAATTTCTTACCGCCCCGCTCTTTCTTAGTTCCACCCTTTTGGGCTGAACCAATTATTTCACTGGGGTTACAGCTACACTTCCATGATGTCTCCCCTTGTGCTTTTACTGAACTGTGGGAAACTGAAGAAGCTTCAGACTGCCAGAGAGATGATTTTACAGTGATGGGCGGAACTCCTGCATGCATGCCGTAACTGCTGACCTATGAGGATTTCTCTAATTTTTTAAAGAATAGGGCAGCTTCAAAAGTGAAGACAAGGAGAATCCTCATCAATTATCTTACTGCTATAAAAGTTGCTCAAACTCACAGTCCAGCACAGACTTAGGCTTAGTTTCATTAAGATATGAACACTGGGGGCAAGGGGTCTGTCAGAAGCATTGCAAAAATGTGGATTTTGATGGAAGAAAGCTGGCATCAAGCAGCATTCTGGGAGGGTTTCATTCGAAAGCTTTACATTTCAAGATCTTTCTACTCTAACTTTCAATAACGTTGCACATTTTGGTTCATTCTTTTCAAGACAAACTGAAATGAAATTCTCACATGTCTGCCCCAGCCAGATTCCATAGGTGCAGCTATTACCAGCATGGAAGGGACCAGGATGTACCTGATTGTCATGGAGCTCTTTAAGATGAGAAGCCTTTTGTTAAAAAAAGAGATGGAAGCCTCAGTTCAGCATTACCATGGCTCAGGGATTTGAACCCAGCCTTTAAAAGGAAAGCACTCCAAGCCCTGGGCCTGGATGGATAAAGCTGTCTGTTTCAGTTGCTGTCACATTTGGTTATGTGTCCAAGCTCCAGTTCTTTTTGTTCCAAACTTTGCATATGTAGGCAAGTGCTTCTGAGAACCAAACTGTAATGGAATCCCCACCCATTCTCAGGCCAAAGGGGCAGCAAAGGGTGGTTATTTAAGGACTTCTTAAATGTGGAGTCATCCTTAGAAATGAAATGATGAGTGAGATGCATGCAAATGCTCCATTGTCAGGTTTTCTTGTCCCTCAGGGTTTCTTGAGCTAGCGATGTGCAGCTCTACTATCTGCTGTGACAGTGCCCATGATTTCACTATGAATCATTCAGTGGGGCCCAGGCCTCTTTACAGACACAATGATGCAAGAGGGAGTCCTACAGATATTTGGCCTCTATTCAGGGCAAGATGTGAATAAGCCATTAACATCAGTGAGAAATGCTGAAGGGCTGAGCTGCTCAGGACATGTGTGAAAAACCTTGGCAGCCTGTGGGAGGCTGAGTGCATCAGCCAGATCTGAGAGGCATAGGAAGTTAGTGCTTGCAATCAAACCCTCTTGGGTAAAGCAACAGGAACAAAGAAAACCCTCTTATGCCACCCTGTGGTTCATAAGCATGAAATCACAGGCAAAGCTATAGTTGAAGCCAAGAGCATGACATGAGAATTATGGGCATTATAAAGACCATTATGGAGAAGGGGAGGGAAATGCGTTCAGTCCAGGAAGTCATGGGTTTCACCCACACGGATGACTAAGCCAGCACTTCCAAGCAATAAAGGAGCACCTGTGGGGTAGTTAAAAATGGTACCTATGCCAATGTCTACATGGCAAGCTGGCCCGAGAGACCAGGCTCTGTGAAAGGAAGAAAGGTTGCTCCGTCAGAATGTTTTCCTTTTACCAGTGTGTTTATAGCCTCTCCACACTTAGTGCAGAGCTGGGGAACATGTGGCCCTTCAGATGTTGTAGGACTGCAACCCCCAAAATCCCTTGCCTTTGGCTGTTTTGTCTAGGGCTGATGGGAGTAGCATCCCTTGAGCATGCAGCTGCCCTGATTGCTTTGTGCCTGATTCAAGCCCCTGAGATGATGCAGATGGTGGCAGCAACATGTAAGCTACCTGGAAGCACTACTGGATAGAATCATTGCCTCCATATCAGCATGACTAGGTTGTGAGTTCAGCAGTGGTCCCGCATGCAGGGGATGATGGGAGAGCCAAATATCTGCCCAGGAAGATAGCCACACTGCTTGTCTCATCTAGCTATCAACACCAAGTTGCTGTGAGTGATGGTATGTACAAAGCACCTGTATAAGTGGTAACCTATTTATAACTTTGGTGCCCAAGTAACAGCACCCTGAAAAAGAATTCCATGGGAGAGCTGAATAGGCATTGTCTTGCAGAAGACGAAAACAATGACAATGAAGAAGAAGGAAGAGGAGGAGGGAGAGAGGACTGCTGAGAAGTGTTTGCAGACACCGATCCAAGACTGAGGTTGTGGAATATGACTGGAGGGTGGGCATTCAGAAGGATACTGCCAGCAGGGAGGTTGGGGCTGATGAATTCTGAAAGAATATGCCATCTATTGAGACCATGTATGGGAGGACTCAGGGCCCTGAGGCCAGGCCAAGTACTGCTGGGAACATCAGGAGACCTGACTAGTAAAGACTGCCCTTTAAGTAACTCTTTCCATTATCTACTTCTCTGGAGTAACAGATTCCAGAAATGGTATTGGCCTGGTGGTGGTGGTGATGGTGGGGATACACTGCAGGTTGAGTAATTTTTTAATTGCCTTTCTTCCATTCTCCTTTCCCACTGCGGCTATTGGTTTGTAAGTGCCCTTTTTATTTCAAGTTAGCCCATCTATCAAAGTTTTCCTATACTTTGAGACATAAATGATGGAAACTTCAGGCCAGGCCCACCATAACACAAAGTGAAGTGGCGACCTCAGGCAGCAGGCTCAGAGCAGGGGGTCAGTGGGACACAGAAGAGTGGCAAGGTGCTGGAGGACAGAGCTGTGTGTGCCATACAGCCTATCCTGCTGTGTCCCCTAAGCTCCTCGACTTCTCTCAAATGGAGTGGCCACTGGAACAGCCCCTGCTATCCCACTACCAGTGTTAAAGCAAGATGCCAGATCGGTTGGCTTCTCTGGGCAGAGTAGAATGGGGAAGCCCCATCTTGTTCTCCATCTGAGGCAGTGAAATGGCTGGAGCCAACCCTGGGGACTTTCACCCTGGGATCCAGCACCAATACTTTAGGGAATCCCAGGCTTTGGGTTTACTTATTTTGACCCAGGCCCTGGGGCTGTTTCCTCACTCCTTCAGAACTGCGGCTGCTTCAGTCTATGTGGTGAAACAGACAATGATGCCATTATCATATGACAGTTTACTCCTTTCTTCATGCCCCAGTATTGGAAAATACTGGACAACTCATGACTTGGAGTCAGACGGGAAGCAATGAAACTAATATAAACATGATCTCCCATCTGCTTTTTTTTTTATAATGGTTTGTGGTCTTTGAAAGAAATTAAAGAAGCAGGAAGAGGAAATGCAGACACAGATAGGTTTGAAGCATGCTGTTGTTAAATTTCTTCTAAAGAACTCTTGGATACTGGGATTTTTATTTTTAAATAGAACCTGGCACTCTAAATACATTTGAAGCCTTTCACTACCACTACCAAGAGCTTACCGAACTGAGATTGCAGAAGGAGTTACTGATGTAGACAGGAAAAAAAAAAGAAGAAGAAACAATATATTGTTCTTGCGATTGCCTGGTCTGGACGCACTGCAGTATCTAGGCCAGGGGTCCTCAAACTTTTTCAACCGGGGGCCAGTTGAAAGGCGGTGGCGGCGGACATGGGCTGGCAAGGGAGTGGCGGGTGCGGGCTGGTGACGCGGCTGCTTGCTTGGGCAAAGAAGGCCACATGGCTGCCCCCCCCACTCGAGTGGAGAAGGCAACGTGGCTGGCTGCCCAGGGTTGGGCGAGGCAGCAGCTGGCTAATCCCCGGGCTCGCATAATTAAAAATAGATTTAAAAAGTTATATTTTACTTACTTTTAAGTCTGTTTTAGTTTCTTCATCTTTGTCTTCACCGTCTTCATCTCTCTTTCACTTCTGCCTCTCTTCTGTTTCCCTCTTCGTATTCCCACTCTGTATATGTGTGCAATAGGGGGAGGGGAGCCAGCACACACGCAGTTGAGCTGTTGCAATTTGGGTATGCATCACTTCTATGCTCAGTTTCTGAGAATGCCTGTGCCGGCTCAGAGGTTTGGCTTGCTTGGAGATCGTTTTCTCCGAGAGAGTCCAAAACCTCTGAGGTGGGCCAGATAAATGGGCATGGCAGGCTGGATCCGGCCTGCGGGCCATAGTTTGAGGTCCCGTGATCTAGGCAGACAGAAAACAAAGACTGTTTGTTAGTGGCATAGGCCAAGCTGTCTGTCACAAGGCAAAGCAGTCACTGAGCAGGTGGGCAGGTTCACACAGCTGAGCAAAGAAGTAAGTAGTCTGCAAGCAGAAGCAGTTTGCAAGAGACTGGTTTCCTTTGTAACAGTTCTGACACAGTTTCCTTTCTAACATTTCTTGGGGCTTGGAAATACCTGCCACAAGAAACAACTGTACTACAAATGCGCACGCACGCACACGCAGAGAGAAAGAGAGAGAGATAAAACCTCTGACACCAAAATAAACTCAGTTTTCATTTAGGAAAGCAATCCTATGGATGAAGCAAGCCTAAGCAGCTGTGATCCCACTGGATGCTGTGGATGTCCTCCTCCATGTCCAGAGAAGGTGATAAGCCTAGAGGAAAAGATCTTATCATGGATCATTCCTCCCCCACCTCCTTCTAGACACCATGGAAAGTTTCTCTTATGAGCTAAGAACTGCGATTTTCTAAGAGAAGTGGGAGAGGGAGAAAGGAGGGTGCGTTGGTATGTGGAGAGGGGAGAGGAGAGGAGAGGGTGAGTTGCCCAGTATCCTCTGTTCCTATTCCACCACAGGTGTGTCAGCTAGGTGGGCTGAAAAGCCTCACCAGCTACTTTTTTGTATTTTGAACATCTGCCTTTTACCCTTCTGGGCTCTTGCTGTACAAGCGACAAAATGGGCCTTGACCAAGCCAGGCAAGGATTGCTCTAGCATTAGACTGGTTCAGCTGCTTATTGAATCAATGAAAATCTAGAACAATGTGGAGCATGTTTATTGATCCCAGGCACTCCATCCTTCCCATCCGGATTTGGGTCTTATAGACCTAGAAAAAGAACATGCATATGGATGGTAAGCCCTAAATAAGCCCAGTTTGTCATTGCCAGTTTTGTCATTGATCATGCAGTACATCTGTTAAGGCATCAGCCTTAGCTTCCAAACCTGGCTTTGTGGAAGTCAAGGCAACCTGAGATAACCTTACCTCTAGTCTTTGTAGGTGTTTGGCTCATTGAATATTGTGAAGTGCAAGCACTTTCATGAAAGTCCCTGTAGCCATACCTGCCAATTAAAATGAACAGGTGAGTGGAAAATCTAGATGCCAGAAGGCAGGGAATGCTATTGCTGTTTATATCAATACCAATGTCAATGACTAATTTAAGCCTTAATGATTTTAGTGGATCTACTCCAAGTAAGGCTATGCCTGGATTGTGGCTATAACAACCAAAGCTTAGAATTTTCCTGAAGCTTTATCTGAAATGAAATAAGATGAATATTCAAACACACTGGCTTGCATTTGAAACATTTTAAAGGAAGACTTATGATTTTAGAGAGAACCATTTTGCACCTTCCTTAAAATATTAATAATACTTTCCAGGTATAAACTGGTATTTTATTTAGTTTTTTAAATAAAAAAACTGTAGAAAGTTGTCAGAACCAGGGATATAGCTGTTAGGGTTTTTCCATGCAGGGATCTTTTGTTAAAGTTAGTCCAAATCAATCAGTAATAGGAGGGTAGGAGCTGAAGCCATTTTTCATGATGAGATGCTAGTGCTAATTCTCTTTGCTGCTAAGACTGAAGGGTACACCATGTCCTTTATTAAGTTATTATGAAATATCCTGCCTTTCTTTTCCCTGTTATTGGTTTTGCTAATAGACATAACAAACTAAATTATACTCTTTATGTTGCATTTGCTAAGCCCACAAAAAGAGACCTCACATTAGCATCTATCACATAGCAGAGAAAAAGCAGAAGGATGTGCAGCTGTAATTATTGAATTACTGAATAATTACTATCTGAATTTAACTGCCGCTACCATAGGAGGGAGCTGTTCAAAAACCAGCTCACCTTCAAGGATTTTAGAGCTGTCTTCCAAGTTGGTCTTTTTGTGGGTGGAAGTTTACAGCTAAAGGAATTGTAGAAGAATGACTATGGAAATGAGAGGACTCTGCATTTAATGTTTCCAGCCTTGCTAGTGGCTGAAGTTTAGAAGACAGGAAAGGCAGAAAACCAATGTTTTTTCTTCTCTGAGCTCTTTCAAAGGCTCTGTGACTGTAGTACCATTAAATACATATCTTATGCATTGTTGACTGCTCTTTTCAGTTGCCACTTCAAAATGTTCAGAGTACATTTCTGCTCCAGGTCACACCATTTTGTGGACTATAAGGATTCATAAACCAATTTCCCTTTCTGCCCATGGATATTTCTTTCCCAGTTATATTGCATCCTGGGTTTCTGAATCTTTGTTCCCAAAGTTTGAAATTTAATGTTAATGCTATCACAAGATTACGCGGGGGGCAGAGTTGGTCCTGGAGGTCATACTAACTGTTACAAGCATTTTTTTATAATAGTGTGGATTCAGTAAAAAGCAGTATGAGTTCTGGTAAATCTTTGGGCAACATATTCCAGTCTCCATTCCAGTTTAGGAAGAATTGATTAATAATCCAAGAAAGAAATGATGAGGGTGAAGAAACATCATAAAAAGGTAGCGTTTACTGTTCTAAATTTTACTATCCACAAAAGCCATTCATTACCAGTGATCATCAGTATTCTTAGAGCAACAAGCTACACATTGGATGAATGAAGTATACCTTTATACTGTATATTGTAAACAGTGCCTTATATGGTTCATTGTGGGAACCTGGTCTCTTCAGCCTGGAGAAGAGGGGACTCAGAGGGGATATGTTGGTGACATACAGGTATGTGAGGGGGTGTCACATGGAGGTGGGTAGAGATCTGTTCTCCCCTGCAGAGGAGGGCAGGACACCCTCCAACGGAGCAAAGCTCAGGGAACCGAGGTTCCGTTTAGATGCCAGGAAGCACTTCCTGACAGTTAGGACCTCAAGGGCATGGAATGGGCTTGCATGGGAGGTGTCTGAGGCCCCATCGGTGAGGGTGTTCAAGGATAGGCTAGACATGCACATGGTGGACATGTCGTAAGCAGAGCTGGCTGGAGCCAGGAGTCAGACTTGATGGCCTGGGAGACCCCTTCTGACTCGCTCTGTTTCTATGTTTCTATATCTGTAAATGGCTGTTCCCTTATATTTATTGTAGGGAAGTCTCTTGGTATATTCTCAAAGTGAATGAAAAGAGTGGGGCTAGGTGGGATAATGTAATTTGGCAGCAGCAAATTCTCTACTAAAGATAAATAATCAGGAAGGTTTGCTGAGAGTCACAATGCTTTCTTCAAATCCACTGCATTGTCATACTACAGTAGGCATTGTTCTTTGTTCTTACAATATCATCTTCATACATGCACATACATATCGATGTGCTGGGGCAGGCAACCTTTTTGGACCTGTGGGCACATTTGGTAATTTTAAAAACTTCCCTGGACACCATAGCTGGAAAATAGCTGTCACCAGAGGAGTGGCTAGTCACTCCAGTACCCTTGCCATGAAACAAGTACCAAAAGGCAAAAAGATATGATGCCGGAAGATGAGCCCCTCAGGTCGGAAGGTGTCCAATATGCTACTGGGGAAGCGCAGACGGCTAGTACTAGTAGCGCCAGAAAGAATGAAGCAACTG